TACGATATAATATTAAACTATATTATTTAATATTAACTATTTCTTTAGTAAATATAATATGCTTTGTAAACAAAACTTTGAATAATATTTTATATTGTGAATTCATTTTTAATGTTTTATAGAATGCATAAAATTTTAAATAAAGTTCATATAAATTTTATAATAAATTATTAATTTTATTAAAATATACTATTTTAGTTAAATATTAAAATTTTATAGTATAAGGTCATTACAATCATTCRATAAATATAATTATCACAACATAACAAAAACATGTAAAATAATATATTAAATAAATAAAAATTATTATATTAAATATATATAAATATAACATAATTATAAACATTAACTAATTAAATTATGATAGTATTATATTTTGAATATAACTTAATTATTATGAGGTTTGAATCACTTTAATTAAATGTTTTAAAATTTTAATTATATATTCAAATTGTATTAACAAAAATATAAAGAAAATCAGATTATTAACAATAGATCATTTATATAATAAAAAATGTAAAAAATATTTAAATATACAATGAATTACACAATTTATATTAAGAAATCTGATATACCGTATAATAAGAGATTTCAAATCAAGAATTCCAGTATTGATCTGAAACTGAGATTTTGTTTGAATAATCTATTTGTCAATGTATTGAATGAATTGAGTTTTTTATTCTTTACTCAACTATACAACTATTTTTTGCATACATTTCTTATCATATTATTTGTAGTCTATATTTGCTTAACAGTTGCATACAAAAGAAAAATGCATTCAGTCTTATAAAGTTAAATGAATAAAAAAATTGATTTTTAGTCTAATTTAATAAATTTAACCCCAAATATCATATGCCATAAATACAATATATATGATAAACTGTATAATACTGTAGAGTCTACAGTGTAGACCATACTTTGTAATACAAAACAAAAACAATATAATTTATATTATTAAAATTTTAAATTACTTTATAAAGTAAAGTATGATATATCATATATTATTAAATTATTTAATTTCATTATATATAATAAATATATATTGATAAATTGATATAAACATTTAAAACAAGTTAAAAKTGTGTCATATATATTTATTCAAAAAAATTTTGCGGATTACATATAATTAATTTTATGACTTCTATATAAAAAACTATACAATAGATATCATACATTTATTTCTATAGTTAAATAAAAAAATAATAGATTTTTTAGACAAAAAAATCAATCAAATTCTTCACTCTTAAAGAATCTCAAGATTTCTTATTTTTTGTGATCAATCCGTATGTAATATATTATATACTTTTATTCATTTCAATGGGCAATATATCTAATAATATATTACTTAAATATATGAGTTGATAGATCAGCTTTAAACAAAATCACATCATATTATTATAGAAATAGCTTATGATAAGCAGTTTTCTATCAGAAAGGTTAGTATTAAAGGTTTTTATTATAAAGTTTAGTTATAAAAAATACAAAATATAAAGCAATAATTCATATTATTATTATTATATATTTATAGATATATTGTATATATGACTTTTGTGTTGAAAACATAATTTATGACTATTAAAAGTCATTTGGGCTCTCATTTTGTGTGCAAGTATTATATAAAAAAACTTAAAATAAATCAAATTATTGTTATAAATAAAAAACACTATCTCGTAGTAAATATCATAAATAGTATCACTAAGTTTTAATCATATTAACAAAAATATAATTATTAAATACTACTGTATTTAGTTATAAATTAATATATTATTCATTAAGAAAAATTATTATCACAAATAATTWTATCAATTAATTWAAATGTAATGAGTTTGTAAAAATCTAACAACGCCTAATACATTATGCAAATACTATATTACATTACTAACGATATTATTTGCGATAAAATACAGTAATATTATTTTATAAATAAATTATTTGATAAAATTTAAAAATATAATTGATACTAATGTAAAATACTTATTATACTTATTTAATGATTAAAATTTTATATCCACTTAATATAATTAATTATTTTTATTTTTAAAGGAATTATATAATATAAATCAATATACATATTAACAAAAATGTGAAACATATAACTACAGAATTTAATAAAATAKWATTAATATATAATTATACTGTATTTTGCAATACTAAAGTAATATAAATAAATAGGTTTCAATATTTAAAAACATATTTACTTAGAATATACTTTATAATATATGAATTTTTATTATAAATTATATGTTTAATAAATGTAATTTGATTAAAAACTGTGTTTTGTGAAGTATATCAAAAAATATTTAAATATAAACAAAATACGGGCAGTGTATCAGTATTTACCACACTGTCTAACCTAGTTTAGGCCTCGCAAGCTAACTCTAGTTATAATGGTTATACACATATTTAATATATTAATTAACATTAACTTAAAATATATAAAATATTAATAAATAAATAAATAGTATAATATCAATAACTATTAATAAGTATTTGATAAACGTATTATGTGAATGAATATGACTTTTCCAATACTTTTTTAATGGGAAATGTGATGTTATTGCTGTACTGTAGTAAAAATGCTATTAAATATTTTTGTCAATTTTTTAAAAGWGGTTTAAGAGTACAATCAAAGTAATTACTCTTTTTAAATAAAAAATGTAGTTTTTAATTAATTATATTACATGTTTTGTTAGACTACATAATAAAACCATATTTCAATAAAATATTATAAATAACCAATAAAATAATTGTATGAAYACTATATTAAATTCAAATATATTATTTATTCATTTATTATATTAATTATATTATAWTATAATAAATGAAAGCTATATTTATTGTACTACTGATCAATTGATATACTATTTTATTGYTAAAAAAMTATTTTATATAACTAATGCTAAAACATAAATTATAAATTAATTATAATGTATACTATGATCTCGAGTGATATAAAGTTATATTAAGTARTATTCAATAAACCATTACATATTACATATTTTACATTAAGATTACACTATTTTAATAGAAATAAAACTATAATTGRAAAAATATGAGTATCAAAAATTGAATAAATTAATGAAAATAATAAAACTTTTAATGGGTTTTATATTAGACTAATCTAAACTAAATTCTGTACTTAATTTATTCAAATTTGATTTATAAAATAATTTGTCAAAAAAGTTATTTAATGCTTATCAAGATTAATACAAAATACCTTATTTCAGTTTGTTTTATCAAAATTACAATTATTGGAAAAATTAAATTGAATTTTCTCTGAATATTAATACATGTATTAAGAATTACATGTAAATTATATTTAATATCATATATGACACAAATTTCAAAATAATTGAAATTCTGTTTAAATACAAATTTAAAATTAATTACAACACATAAAGATAAAAATGTAATTTCAAATATTTATAACATATAATCTAATTATAGATAATTTCAATATAAATTTTTTAGTATAAACTATTATACATCTTTCATGTACTGTATTTTAACAGTTAAAATACAGTAATTTACAAAATATGATATTATTAGTAACACATTTTATATAATATAAAGCTATTGAATAAAGTAAATATATTATATAATATTGTTTATACTGAATGTACCGAATCGTTATAAGGAAGTAATTAGAGCTAAAAGTTTTAATACTAAGTACTAAACATAAAATTTGGTCAATAATTTAAACAAATTTTATGAAACTGTAATTAACTAATTATATCAATTATTATTATTTTTATATCCATTATATTAAATCAAATAATAAATAAAAGTTAAGTAAAAATAATCTATAAGTTATATAAAAATTTTAGAGAAAATAAAAATATTTTCAAATTAATTTCAATAAATTTCTTAATATTCCCGTATTATTTTATCAAATAAATGTAAAATRTAAAAATAATAAATAGTTTTACATATAAAACATGAAAAAATAATTGAAAATTTATAATAAATGTTTAGTAATCTAAATATCAATTAAAACTGTCATCTAAAGAGTCTTACTCTAGTCTTACTCTTGACTACCACTACTGCAAGTGATAAACATATATATCACAAGATATGTCTCATACTGTCCCGTCCAKTGATAACACATTCATACCCACTCTGATAGGTCTACACTCAATCTAGGATTTGTWTCCTCCGTTTTTACAATCATTGAATGCATGGGTTTTGAGAACTCTTAAAATATGTTTATCTCTATACTATTATTGGTTATAYTGTGTATAGCAATAGTTAGATGAGTACCCATATTAACGATAGGACAGTATTATACTGTATATGTGGACAGTTCAGAGTAACATTTGATAATACTAAAAAATTTATAGTATAAATATTTATAGTTATATATATATATATATTATAAAAAGAGATAATATTTAGGCAAAAAAATCAACAAAATTTAAGACCGATTCCTGAAAATTAATTAAATAGCTTTTAGTAAATAATTTAGTAAACAATTTTTGCAAATACTTTTGTTTCAAATTTATATTTATAGCTGTTTTATATAATTTTGTAAAAACATATACACTATTTATAATATTTGAATTTATTTTCATTGCAATATTGATAATACTATAAATATTTACAGTTTAGTTAAACTAGTAAATAAAAATAATACGTCATTGCATTTAAAATAATTAATATTATAGTATTTTTGTGTTTCTTTATATAATCTAAACAATAAGTCAGTAAATATATATCAAAAATTGCTTAACGTTGTTATGTATAGAGTGTTATTTATATTACTACACTTTTATTGCGATATAATTAAAAATTACAAAACAATTTAGCAATAATTTAATAGTAATAATTTATACTTATCATTATTTTGCAATTTATAATAACTTTTGTACTATAAAATCGATTTATAATTTATAAAAACAATAACTATTAATTTTTATATAATTGAATAGAAAGCATATTTATAGTGTAGTAAAAATAATTTTAGTTTAATTCAATTTTAGAAGAAATTTTGTCATTGAGTTTGTATTTTAAAGTTTTGTACGATAAACACAATATGTTTAAAATTGTATTATTAAATTTGATGTCTATGGCAATGATGAGCACAGTTATGTGCCAGACATCAGCTCCATGTCCATCATGTAATGATGTTGGTCAACCCTGCTTAGTGCACTCAAGAACTTGCTCTAGAAATCCATGTTGTTTTGGATTGAATTGCGTTAAGAAAAATCCAAATGTAACTGATTTGGGTGGGACTTGTGTGGTATAATATTACTAATTAATTATTATAATTATATAATATTAAAATATTAAATATAATAAATTTAATAATAATATTTATAGGATCCCTGTCCATACTGTCAACCTGAAGGTAAGTCCTGTGAGGTCCGTGGGATAGGATGTGGTCGACGGAGTTGTTGTGAAGGGTTGACCTGTTATCACAAGAATCTACACGTTGCAGATCTTCCGGGAATATGTCTTAAACATGTAGGCTATTGTGCAAAATATATTTAGATTTTATTAATTTTTTCATTTTTTTCATTAGCCACCCCCACCTCCTCCTTGTACTGCTAAGTGTCTACTTTTTAATAGTAAATGTAATCCCAATCTCCAAGATCTAACACATTSTTCGCCATTTAGTTGTTGTCGGGGCTATATATGCGCCAAAAATATAGAAAACTCAGACTATTTGTGTCAACCATTGATTGGTATCTAATTTATAATATTTAATATTTATTATATTAAAATATAGATTTATATTTTGAAAATTATATTGTAAATTAATTTTAAATAAATTATAACAATATTTTGTGACTTATTCTGACTTTAATTTTCAATTTTGCATTTAGTCCAGGGGRAGGGTGAGGGGGGAGTAGTAAAATTATAAAATTTTGATCTTAAGTCTCATGAAGGCTTACTTACTCTCTTGTGATTCCGGTGGCCGAGAGGTAAAGTTGTCGACCTTTGTTTACTACAACCCGGAGGATCACTAAGCATATTGTAGTTTTATGATCATTAATAATAATAGGAATAATACTATATATTATATACAGTATATTGAATTGTCAAACAATTGTTTTCATATACAGTATGTCTGGCCGTTCATTAACATTRCACTACTGACTGTCATAGAGTRCTAAACGCAATRCTATAACYAATATATTGTTAGAGAGGAACACAGTTTTCCAAACCCCGTGAATGCATACTGAATGTAAAAACGGGTATAAAAATCATATATTGATTATTTACTCTCTTACCCTTCACTTATTGCTTTACYCTTTATATTATATAATATGTGATAATTATACTGTATTTATATTTAGCTTATTATTTATATAACACATTTGTAAAATTATATATTTTATTAAATATATTGTGTAAACTTAACTTATACTATGTATTTGGCATTAAAACAAGACACTATTGTTTATTTCATTAATCTTATTAATAATTAATATATCAAACACAACACATAAACTACAATYGATTAATTATGCTGTAATTGGTATATAAATTAACGTCAAATACATAGACTGTATTGTAATTGTTATAATCATTTAGTTAAAACATATTGTTATCATACAATTTAGTTCTATATTGACATGCAATACGTTTTCTATAAATATTGCTATATTTTTGCCAATTTATTAATTTTAATCACAAAATCAATATAATACAAAATTATTACAAAATGCTTATAAAAAATCAGAAGAAAATACTATTACAAATATTGCAATATTATATTATACAGTATATATATATATATACAGTATATATATATATATATATATATATATATATATATATATATATATATATTAATAAATAAAAAAAATTTCCAAAAAATTAAATATCTTATATTAAAAAGCAAATTGTGATAACAAAACATATGAGTTGTTTAAAAGCTGAGAAAAATAGAGGAAATTCAATTAGATTTTTGAAAAATAAAAAATATATGAAAAGAAATTTTTATATTTCACATCTTTACTGAAAAATATATATTTGGATCCACAAAATGATTGTCAGCTAAATAATTGTCAATTATATTTACTGTTCATAACTGATAAATAATAAAAGTTGACTTAAGAAATTGTACCGTATGTTTATAGTTAGACAAACACACACACATACTGTATATACCAATGCACACATTTAAGCAGTTTTGAGAAATGTTAGCTCTGAAAGGTATAGAATTATCGTTGAATAATACAATAGATAGAGAACTGACATATAAAAGGATATTCAATACAACAAACACAACTTATCGACACAAAAATGAGTGACTATGATATCAAAGAGAGAGAGAGAGAGAGAGAGAGAGACTGRYGCTATCTTGAATTTTATACATCAAAAGTGTACCTATTATTTGGTTCAAGACTATGATTGATGTCTTTTTATGGTAAACATTATCCACAGTATCCATGAGTTTAACTATCATCGATGAAGTCGAGTAATTATGGTTAGTCCATATAAAATGTATATTCACTGTATTATGTTAACTACATTATGCAATACATCAAAAATTTTATATCAAAATTTTGAGTTACAATGAGTTTTATAATATAAAATGTGCAAAATTTGAATGTAAATCAACTCAAAGAATATTCAGTTATTCAATTTATACAGTGGTTTGATTACTACAATCCTATCATATATTGAATTTAACTTTTATGTCTCATATTTAGGTCTATATTATACGCTCACCTAATGTTAGCTTTTATGATGTGATCGATTAGCGCTTTAATACAATGAACCCGTTTTTATATAAAATGTAATCTCTATATTACTTTATATTAAAAATAGTGTATTCAATAAAACTAATTTATGTTTAATTTAATACATGTCTTAATGAGCATAAGTGTATTTTATAACATTAATATATATAATGCTTTTAAAATATAAACTTAAATAATATTAAAATTTAATTTATTTTATTATAAGTTAAGTATTGTATTGCAAATAATTTTAAATATTAACAAAGTTTGTTGTATTATAAGCAAAATTTTAATAACAAACAAAATTGAATTAAATTATTTTCATAAGTCAACTAAATTATTATATTTCATATTTTGTCAGTTTTTTCACACTTTTCTCACTTTTGTAATTGAATTAAATTCTAGTTTTTTGTCGGTTGTCTCATGAATTATATATGTATCACATTTTTCATGGCATTGCACACAAACTCTTCCATACATTTATAATTTTTACTGTGATATATATATAAATAAATAAATAAATAAATAATAAAAAAATAAACCAACTAAAAACCCAACTGAAAAAAAACTAATAACAGAAAATTTAAGATTAAAAATGTTTTGTGTATTTTTCTTTAAATATCTATATATTGTATAATATATATTGTATTATTATATTTGTATTGAAAGCAAATCTGACAGATGAGTGACAATTTGATTGTTTCATTGTTTCATTTTATAGCACAACAACTGAATGACAACAAAATTGAATGTTTTATTCATTCGTGAATTCATTTCTTTTATCTCTAACTTTTGGTTTTAGATTCAATATTTCAGTTGTCTTTTTATCCAACTTTTTACTATTTATTTTTTTTATCTATTTATACAATATCACAGACAATATTATAAAATTAGACATAAAAATATATTATTTGGATAWACTTTATATGATAAAGGAATGTATATTTTATAATGTATAAGAGATTTAAATATATTTAAACAATTATTTATTTTATTATTATTATTGTTTGATTTGTTAATTCATATTTATTAATTTTATTGCTTAAAATTTAAACTCTATCAGCTGTTAATAATTTTAAGTTAGCTATAAGTTACATAAAAATATTAARGAAACTGTTTATCCTTTTAAATATTAGATAATTTTTTTAAACTTAAAATAAATAATAATGTTTCTGTTGTTGAATTAATGTCAATAAAATTAAGCTATAATTTTAAAAAATCAAATATTAATTATATTAAAATATACATAAAACTTTTTTTTTGTTTTACGATTTTATTTATAAAATAATAAAACACTATGTATTTATAACATATATATTACTACGGTATTATCTATTATGGAAATAACAATCAATATAAATAGAAAATGAAAACATTTGTTTCAATTTTTTAGTCTATATTTTTAAATTTAATAAAATGTTATACAAGAAAATCAATAAAACAGTATCTATAATAATAATAATAATATACAAACATAATATTTATAGTAAGAAAAATTGAAGACAATGTCTGGAGTGGTAGAGAACCATAAATATTGTTTATAACAAGTATTAAGATTTGCCTCAATTTTTTCCTTTACATATAATTTTTCTATCCGTTGTTGTAGTTGTTATCTATGTCTTGCCTTTACTGCAATCTTATTGGCAGTTCTCTCTCTCTCTCTCTCTCTCTCTCTCTCTCTCTCTCTCTCTCTCTCTCTCTCTCATACTTTCTCGTTATACTTACTTTTAGTTCATATTTGTTTCCAATAAATCAATATCTTTGAGCCACTGTTTCTGGTTGTATACCATATATTACTTTTGAGAATGAGTTTCCAAAGTATAATATATAACTAACTCTTAGGTTTAGACAAATAGCGGAATCGATATGCCTTTTATGACTATCGAGAAAATTATATGAATCTCAAACACTTACCCACAGATTCTCAAATAATTGCAGTTTTGACTACACTTTTAAAAGTTTTGATTTGCCTATCAATGTACTCTTATAAACAGTATATATGTATTATATCTTTTCATAAATTTATGAAACATTATACGATTGACGCACAGGAATTGTATAATATTTTTATGCATTGCTATTAAATGTTATAACTGATAGCCAATAATGTGCTATAATTGACAACAAATTATTATACATTACAATACTATGCCATAATAGTAGCCCTCAAGACATACAGTTTTATATTTCTCTTACATTTTTCTGTAACATATTTTTTATTATTTAAGTTAAATAATAATATTAAATATAGTAAAATAATAATTTTTATATTCATTTTTACTAAATTAAATTATTTTATTATAAAACTGGATATACAACATATATCATTTTAAATCAATTATTATATACTTTAAATGTAAATTAAAAACTATTTTTCAATTTATTTTGTAATTATTTTGTTATTGTATAAAACAACTAAAATATTTTTTAAATAATATTTTCTTAAATTTTATATTCTATATAAATACTATATTTTATTATGTTATATATTGTAGTATAAGTTAATCTAAATAATGTTATCATTAAATAAAAGGAATATTCAAATCATATTATTGTGATTTGAATATTAAGAATATTAAAAAAGTTTATATAAATGTTTAATATATTTGAGAATATTCATAGTCTGTATATTAATACAGTATATTGTATTTATATAATTGAATGTTTCAATTGGCTTTATTATATGTGAATCACAATTTTCTCCATTAAAATACATAATCATTAAACATGTCATATATTCCTAGTGTAGTTCAACAATAAATATGCATTTATTTGCCTAAATTTTTGGACTCTAGATTAATAGCACTTTTAAAACAAGAGCATAGATAAGTTTATTATTATTTTTACTATTATTTTATTAAAATAAACTGTAGACYATCATTATAATAGTCACAATAAACATACATAAAAGATACAGTATTTGGCAATTAAAATCTCAGCTCACGTTTCTCATTGTATAAATTGCCACTTTATTTATTAAACATGTAGTTCTCTAAGCTAA